TACACTTGAAACCATCTTGGGTGCAAGCTATGTGAATCTTGTGTGATTACATTTATTAACCGGTCTCTTATGCCTCATTCACACGGGAATCTGCCACCACGTACAGCTCCATGCGGCGTGCACGGCCGTATCGGGCAGCTCCCGGGAAGGACAGGTGCTGCGTGTGATTAGTACGCAGCCCCCGTCCTTCTCTATGGGAGTACACGGCCGTACGCCGCCCTACGCTCACCCCAAGTGCAAGTCCGTGCGGGTGCGCATACTCATACGCAGACATGATGGATTCCGGGACACCCGCACCCATATGGACATGCACTTGAGGTGAGCGTAGAGCTGCCGCGTACTCCCATAGAGAAGGATGGGGGCTGCGTACTAATCACACGCAGCACCTGTCCTTCCCAGGAGCTGCCTGATACCGCCGTGCACGCAGCACAGAGCTGTACGTGCCGGCCTTTTCTCGTGTGAATGTGTGAATGAGGGCTTAAAGTGTATCTAAATCCAAGAACAGGAATGTCACATATTGCAGCTTACCCGTCCTTAGATGTGGCGGCTGCATTCGTTTTCTTTTTACAAAAACCCACCCCCCCCCCCCTATGTTATGGAGATAAGGAGAGGGGAGATATTTTTTTAGTCCAAATCAGGAGAGCAGCCTAATGGGACAACGCTGCACCTCCAGAGATACAGTGCAGTGAGTGAGCGTTGACACCCTGAGATAGGAAATGGGTTGCTGGCAGGATCACCAGGTGAAAATAAAGGAAAAATGCCTGAAGTTGTTCACTGGACAAAGTCATTGGATGTTCATTTTCGATCATCCAGTCATGTGACCAAAAAAAATATCCTTTTTTTTAATTCCACTGCCCATCACTCTGCATCGTGTCTCAGCATTTTTTTTTTCTTTTACCTTATTCAAGAGAGAAACAGCTTTCTTTACTCCCTGAGGACTTCATCACCAGGCTTGTAATATTCTTGCTGTTGGGAACTCATTTCTTACGCCCCCAGTACTACATCTTCCAAGAGCCCTTTACCTATGCACGATGTTTGGCCAGGCTCGTGGCAGCTGTATTGTTTTGCAAGGAAAGAAACCAATGCATGTAAGTGTAGCGGGACAGAGAGAGGGGGCAGGGGATGGGTGGAGCTCTGTAGTCCAGCAAGTGGCGCTGCCAACACCACCTGAGAATAACAGAAGCACCGTGCTGTCAGCCCAAACAGGACTTTATGAGCTCACTGGATTTATGGGTCATTTCATTGGTGCTTGCTGTGTTTTTAAAGGAATAAAACATGGAATATGAGCAGATATTAGAGATACTGTATGTACTATTTGTTGTTGTTAATGGTGCCCTGATATACACTTTGGAGTATATTTTAATTGTTTTCACACAGGATTCACACCGTGTTCACCCAAGAATCACTAATTTTCTAAATTGAATCCATATATAAAATGTGTGACTCTTGGGTGAACAGTGTGTGAATCTTAGGTGAAAACATTTATGTACTGACCCCTTTAAGTTTACATACAAGTCAATTGGAATATTTTTTAGAGTGCAATCAAATAATCTCTGTACAGCGGCGGTCCCGGAGGACCAATTAGCCTAGGGAAAACATTATTTGCATGGTTCCACCTACAATCCTAAAATGAGGAATACATTTTTTGGGGGGATGTAAAACACCTAAATGCCTTTTCTTTTAAGGGATCATTTACATGAGTGTGCATATCCGTACGTGCGTGCGCATGCAGAAACCTGTTCTTGGGAGGGACAGGTGCTGCCTGTGATTGCATGTAGCTGCCTGTGCCGACCTATTGGGAGGACATGGCTACATCCGTGCAGGTCCAGGTGTCTGCAGACAGTGTGCGCCCAAGTGCGTGCATCCGAACCTGCACGGGTTTGCTGGTTCGGGTTGGCGTGTAGCCATGTGCAGCTAAGTTCTCCCATAGGTTGGCACAAGTGGCTGCATGCAATTACATCTGTCACTCCAGAAAGCAGGTCTCTGCATAGGTGTGCACACCATATGGATGTGCACGCCGATGTGAATGAGCATTAAAGTGCTCGTTTGTCATCTTGTCTTGCTGCATAAAGTTTTCCTAAGCTGCTGCAAAGTTTCTTACTTGGAGATCCTGCCAGTAACAGAACTTCCTGTCACCGGCAGGCAACGCAAAGCCACCGCCTTGTTGTAAGCAGCAACCTTGTCATCCCGCCTTGCAAGCACCTTTAGTTGGCTGTCAGGCTGCTATTATGTCCATCAGATAGGCAGGGGACAGGAAAGAGGTGGCTTTGTATTTTCAGTCTGCAACAGGAAGTTCCATTACTGGCAGGAACTCCAGGTAAAAAACCTTGAAGCAGATTCACAAAAAAAGAAAAGTGTATACACTGAGACATAATGCCAACATACTGAAAATACATTAAGGGTTTACAAATCTTTGTTGTGCTTCATAATGGTTCAGAAGAGTGTCTTTAGGTCCTTTTTGGCCACCTCACCACCATCACCTGGCTGGTTTGAAGGGGCCGTCCCCAAACTCCTCCCACAAAGATGGGAGCATAAAATTGTCCAAAGTGTCTTGGTGTGCTGATGTCTCAAGAGTTCCTTTCACTGGAACTAAGGGTCAAGCCCAACCCTCACTGCTTTTGGCAATATAGTGTATATATACCCCTATATTATTATTATTATTATTATTATTATTATATTTTCTCTTCACCTTTCCATTACAAGCTGCTTGTGTTTTTATCACTTACATTGTTACATTGTAAAAAAAAGGGAACATTTGTGATCTGCACAAATAAGTAAATAACACTAAAATTAAAAAAATACAATTAAAAAAAAACAACAATATTTATTTGGACATAAAGTGTAATAAAATAGTCTCTTGTTTAAAACCATAGGAACAATGAACTGTTTATAACAAACATATTGTTATATATCAAGAACAATCACAGTTCATCACAATCAATCAACCTTTCAGGGGAAGGAACACATGAAGATGGAGGACCTTTGGACGGGGAGGAACCAGGGAACAGGACGAGGCCCAATGCAAACCCGCCCAGCCCCGTCTGTCTTGTGGATGGTACAGAATAAAGGTGGACAAGTCCTTTGTAGTATACGCCATCATGTTCCTTGGTTCTTCCCCATTTCCTCATTTTGGCCACAGGTCATGTGTTCCTCTTGAGGGATGATTGATGCTTTTAACTTTTCCTGCTAGTAACCTTGGGATCCTCTATAAACTATATAAGAGATGTATTGAACAAAAGCCTGTCTATGGCCTGAAATACAGACTTCTCCTTGTGATCTGAACTGCATGTGCATCCTTGAAGAAGCAGACATTATTCCAATAAACATGTTGGGTGAAGATAATCATACACGGGATAATCTGATGTTCGTCATATGTAACTATATGTTGGTTGATAACAATCATGGACCGAATAATTAATTGTTTTTGATATTTATATATTTACAAGCAGGCCATTTTTCTTCTGGTTTTGAATGGCGGAATATTTATATGTTCAATTTTTATCTTTATGAACAAATAAAAAGTGTAAATAATAAAATAAGAATTCTTTGTGAATTAACTGTGTTTGCACATAACATATACCCCATTTTCTACAATATAAGTGATGTTACCCTATATGGAGGGGATATAGATGTTACCCTATATGGAGGGATATAGATGTTACTCTATAGGGAGGGATATAGATGTTACTCTATATGAAGTGATATAGATGTTACCCTATATGGAGGGGGTATAGATGTTACCCTATATGGAGGGGGTATAGATGTTACCCTATATGGAGGGGGTATAGATGTTACCCTATATGGAGGGATATAGATGTTACCCTATATGGAGGGGGTATAGATGTTACCCTATATGGAGGGGATATAGATGTTACTCTATATGGAGGGGATATAGATGTTACCCTATATGGAGGGGGTATAGATGTTACCCTATATGGAGGGGATAGAGATGTCACCGTATATGGAGGGGGTATAGATGTTACCCTATATGGAGGGGGTATATATGTTACCCTATGTCTCCAGACCTAAACCCTATTGAGCATCTGTGGGGCATCCTCAAACGGAAGGTGGAGGAGCGCAAGGTCTCTAACAAACACCAGCTCCGTGATGTCATCCTGGAGGAGTGGAAGAGGACTCCGGTGGCGACCTGTGAAGCTCCGGTGAACTCCATGCCCAAGAGGGCAGTGCTGGAAAATAATGGCGGCCACACAAAATATTGAGACTTTGGGCCCAATTTGGACATTTTCACTTAGGGGTGTACTCACTTTTGTTGCCAGCGGTTTAGACATTAATGGCGGTGTGTTGAGTTATTTTGAGGGGACAGCAAAGGTACACTGATATACAAGCTGTACACTCACTACTTTACATTGTAGCCAAGTGTCATGTGTCGTCACATGAAATTATATCATCAAACATTTTACAATGCTGACACTTTATTGAGCAATATATTTGTTAAAATCGGAACACCTTTTGTTTTTAAATAAACATAAGGATTAGGAATGGAAAAAAAAAGCAGAATCAGAAAAAAAGTTTTAAAATACAATTCAGTATTTGTTTTCGTTTTTTTAATGTATATACTGTGGAGATATATCTTTTTTTTTTTTTTTTTTAAAAAAAGAAGATTACTGCCAATATATCACCCGTCTGACATGGCCTTCAAGCTGCCAAATCTTATTTTACAACCAAATTATATAAATAGAAATAAATAAAAACAAAAGCCAGTATTTTTTTTTTCTTTCTCTGTTTTCATTTTTACAAGCAAGAATTGAAAACAATTTACTACTTTATTTATAGAGCCGCCTCTCAAAATGAGTGACAGTGCAAAGTCCATTTTTTTTAATATATGTATATATTTATATTTCTACCTTGGTTTTTTTTTTTTCCGATGACTACAGTATGATACAAAGTTTGTTGTCCATCATTTGGGGGCGAAAGAGAGAAAAGTTGCCTTGCTCCGGATACCTTTTGGGGTAGTCTTGCTGGAATGGTTCGTCTCTCCACATCCGAATATAAAGTTCTTCGGCAACCAGACAGAGAAGGAATCTTTTTTTCTCGTGCTGTTTCCATTTTGTCCGTGTTTGCTGGGTTAACGTCGTTGCGTACGCAAACGGCCTCAGTACATAACCTCGGATGCGGCGACGGCGTCAGAGCTGGCAAACAGAGAAACAGCATGAGAAAAAAAAAAGAAAAAATTCCCTCCCCGAACCATTTCACCAAAACACTACACCGTCATTACCGTCATTACCGTCATTAACAGGTCAAAACGTTGGCCAACTCTACTCTCTTCTCACTTCTACTGCCAGCAAGTGGCCAACGCTGCCCCAGATAGCAAGCAATTGAGCTGCAAGTTTGAAATTGACCTGCTAAACTATTGCAGACTTGCCAAGCTTCACAATTTTGTTGCACAATTACAGCAAGTCTCCAGACCAACGTGCTTTGCAAAAGTGCTGTATACTTGCAGAGGTCTTCCTAAGACCCGCAGGACTCTTGCTGTAGACTTGCAAAGCAAATTTGCTACAAATTCAAAAAGTGTCACCCAGAACTTGTGCTGCTGCAAGTGTTCTGCAAGTCTACAACGTGCCAGGGAATGTGTGCAGCAAGTTAGAAAGAATTAACATTTAAGCCTGCCACAAGTCATCCTTGCTATCTGGGACATCGTCATGGCTATCTGAGGAAAGTTGGTCAACATTACATACGGCCGGAGCTAAAAACACATTTACCAAAGCTGCATCGTCACTGCTAATTAAATCGGTTTTAATACAGAATACAGTCACTTCAAAAACAATAAAAAAAGGAAAAAAATAGGGTGCAGTGGCTACAATTCTGCTCATATATATTTTTGGAATCTTCTAACGCAGCTCTCTAACCATTCATGTGACTGAGCTTTCATAAAGCGCACTTCTTGGAAATGAATTAACTTAGGCTACTTTAATCTCTGCCTATAGAACAAGCTATTTTAATAGATTGCAATAGTTATTAAATGGTATAAGACTGGGACGTGCAGTCAGGGGAGGCAGAGCCTCACCTATTATTATGAAGAAAAAATGTGTCAGCTTCAAGTCTGAACCTGACAGCTTTTTCTCCATTGAGAGCGGCTTGTTACAGATTACACAGCAGGGAAAGCCTCCCCGCTGTGTAACCTGCCATGGAAAGCCTCCCCGCTGTATAACCGGTCATGGAAAGCCTCCCCACTGTGTAACCTGTCATGGAAAGCCTCCCCGCGGTGTAACCTGTCATGGAAAGCCTCCCCACTATGTAACCTGTCATGGAAAGCCTCCCCACTGTGTCACCTGTCATGGAAAGCCCCCCCGCTGTGTCACCTGTCATGGAAAGCCTCCCATTGTGTCACCTGTCATGGAAAGCCTCCCCAATGTGTCGCCTGTCATGGAAAGCCTCCCCAATGTGTCGCCTGTCATGGAAAGCCTCCCCACTTTGTCATCTGTCATGGAAAGCCTCCCCACTGTGTCACTTGTCATAGACGGAGCGCTGCCTGTTAATTACATGTTATTTAGAGGCAGCACTGCATCCGGCTTTTGACAGGTAGTTAGGTTGCACAGCAGTGGGCTTCCCCACTGCTTGTGTAACCTAACTTGGTGAGGCAAGAGCTGTCACAGCCTCTACTCTGTGTTAGAGGCGTGAGCTCTGTGGACGGCTTGGACCAATGTCAAAGCACCATTGGTCCAAGCTATCCAATCAAAAATAAAAACAGATCTTGATGCCTCAACAGTGACAAGCAAGGGAGGGACAGGGAGGCTCCTCCCTTCTTTCTCCCCACACAGCTTGGTTACCGAGCTGGAGGCAGAGCTTCAGCTGGACGGGCGGAGCTATGACGGGCTGGGGGATGCCTCACCCAGCACAGAAGGCACAGCACGTCACTGGTATAAGACAAACACAACTTTTGTTGCTCATTAGGGTTGGAAGTCTAAGGGGAAGGAGGGTTGGCGTTGCTGCTTTGTAGAGTTAGCAATAATAATGGTTCTAACAAAGTTTCTAACGGGAAACGTTCACAGAATGTGCAATTTTCAGCCTAGGTTAGACATGTGCACGGGCTAAAAAATTTGTTTAGTTTCCTTTTTTCGGGATTCTGGTCTGAAAGTCAATTTGTTCGGGATTCGGAAGAAATTAGTTGGCGGTAGTCTGGTAGTCTGTATGAATTTACGTTGCAGCAAAGTGACATTAGATAAAAGGAAAAAAAAATATGACTTTTTATTTTTTTTTACTGTCTGCAGAAGAGAAAACAAAAAGCGTGAGGTTCCCCCCCAATTTGATATCAGACCCTTTAGGTCTGGTAGGAATGTTAGGAGGGGCCCTCCCAAGTTAAAAAAGAAAGTGCATGGGGTTCCCCCAAAAGCCATAGCAGGCCATTTAGGGCGTAACATGAACGTGACCCCATCCCTTTCCTGCCCTGCCGGGTCTGTGCTCGGATCAAGGGTCTGGTATGAATTTAAGGGGGACCACACATTTCACCCCCATTTTTGGGGGGTGGGGTTCCCCCTTAAAATTCCCACCAGACCTAAAGGGCCTGGTATGGCTTTTGGGGGGGACCCCACACACTTTTTTTTTAAAACTTCGGGGGGTCCCTACTAACATTCCTACCAGACCTAAAGGGTCTGGTATCAATTGGAGGGGAACCTCACACTTTTTTTTCCCTCTTCTGCATTTGCATTTGGCTGTAAAAAAAAAAAAAATAATCATCACTTTCCTGCAACGGATATTCGTCCAGAAATTAAAGTTTATACAGATATCGGTAACTAATGTCTCCCGAAATTCAGGAATTCAGATTCATTCGTAATTTCTGTCATTCGGAGATTCGGATATATCCAAATCTCAGAAAATTCATCAGAATAACGAATCTTTCCAAAACGAACCGCACATGTCTGGCCTAGGTATATCATCGATGGATCGGGAATTAGTCCAGCAAGCCATTAAAAGTTAAAAGTGAATTTTTTAGTTATTGCTTAGTACAATTTTAAAGAGACGTGGACAAAGCTAAGGAAGTAAAACTGAAAGACATCTGAGAAAGTCCAAAGTTAGATCTGTGAACTAAACTGAAGAGCAGAGTTGAAGGACATCTCAGGAAGGACAACGATGGATCTCTGATCTAGACTAAGGGAGACTGAACTGATGGGAAAGTCCAAGACTGGAGTCAAATCATCTAAACTGCATTGGGCTTCTAAGGTAAGCGGGTGTTAGAGGTCAGTGAGAAAGAAAGTTTTTGGTCATGAGTTTCTAGGATATGGAGAACTCACCAAGACAGCAAACAGTGATCAGGACACCGCTGTTGGCTGTCCAACATTAACTGACGCTGCATTGTCAAGAATCCAATGAAAACGAAGCGGCTGAAATAAAGGTAAGAGATGAAGGTGAGGTGGAGCTCAGAAATATAAATATATATTACATTATCAGGGTCCATTGACCAACAAAATGCAAGCAAGCAATCTTTTATTATGTACCTCATAGTAGACCAGCCAGTTTGGACTGGATTTAAAATATCTAGCACATGTATGTATATCCTTTATGCAAATTACCCAACCTCAATGGGAACGGAAATGGCTACCCATATAGAGAGGATACCCATAGAGATAAGAACTAGCCAAGTGTATGATTAATTCCACAGCCATGCAGAGTTTTGTATCAACAATCCTAACGTGATACTAAACTCAGGAGTTAAACCTTAAAAATGTATTCAAGAACCTCAACTATTAACAGCAATGAGGGGAATTTATCAAAACTGGAGCAAACAGCCCCCATGGAACCAATCAGCATCTCTCTTCAGTTTGCTCGGGTAAAATTTGAAAATGAGAGAGAGAAGCCAATTGGCTGCAGTGCAAATCTGCTCCACATTTTGTCTGCTCCAGTCCTGATAAATTCCCCCCCCCCTTCTGGAGGGGGGCTATGTCTGTTCCCCATGGTCCCCGTGTGTGTTGTAGAGTAGTCACCGATCCAAGCTCGCTCCCGGGACGGACTACAATCTCAATACAAATCAGTAAACTAGACATGAGATTGTAGTCCATCCCGGGAGTGAGCTTGGAGCGGTGACTACTCTACAACACACATGGGGACCATGGGGAACAGACGTAGCCCCCCTCCAGAAGGAAGGACAGTGTCAGCACCAATTCAGAGATGATTGGAGGATCTACAGCCGAGTGATACACAAATAAGATACATTGTTGATAATAGTTAAGGTACCTTATATATATATACACATACTGTATATATATCTATATCTATATGTACATATAGATATAGATATATATAATTTTCTGTGAAGTTAATTTTTAATTTTTTTTTTCTGTGAAGTTAATTTTCAGCCCATTCACTAAGCTAAAAGTAAAATTCCCCTGCAAAGTGAATTTGTCTTTAGTAAACCAACCCCATAGTATCAACTTTCCCTACAAAGTTAAGCAAACATTTGCAAAATACATCAGACATGCCAAATTATATATACAATGCTTCCAGATACAGGAGTACAGGAGGTATACATTCATTTATTATTATATGATGGAACAGAAGACGTGCATTAAAAAAAAAAAAGGATTTGTACCATGAAAAATGGGCAAATTAATTTCAATTTCAAAGGCTGATTTTTGCTAATGTTATGATGAAGATCAACAAAGAATCAACTTGTAACTGCATGTTTCTTAAAGTGGATCTACAACCTCCTATCCATTACAGCCAAAGAAGACGCCATCTTGGCCTCTATTTGGATTGCAGTTGCCATGGTGCTGCACATGTAATCAGCTATGACGCCAACTCTTTAAAACCCTTTTATAGCATCTAGATTCCAAACCAGTGGAAATGTGAGCCTACAAGACACACGGTCCTAGGACAGATTCTGAACATGGCTCAAACAGACTGAAACCTGAAATAAGCAAACTGGGAACCTTGACTTTGGGCACACGCCTTGAGGGCCCAGTCACACCATATCCAGTGCCTTGGGCGCAGTCCGAGCCCAGAACACACTGGATCGCAAAGATCACGCCGGACCATGTTCTGGGGCAAGAGGGGGCGTGGCGATGCCAATCATGTCAATGGCACTGCAGGCACGCCCCCTGCCCGCTGTGCATTTGCCCGCACCAGAACGCAAGGTACAGGAATACCCTCTGTGTGATCGGAAAAAATGCTACATGCACTTTTTTTTCCGATCGCACTGCACTGGAACGGAGGGCAATCCTGTTCCGGTCCATGCGATTGCCCTGCGGGTGACATGAATGGCTCCACCACTCCCCCCCCTCCCACCCCAGAACATGGCCTGGCCTGATCTATGCGATCCAGTGCCCCCCGGGTTCAAACTGCACCGGAACGCACTGGATATGGTATGACAGGGCCCTGAAAGTAACTGTTTTGAAAATTGGTGGGTCTAGTTCCACGTTAAGATTGTTATTTTACATCTGTATCATAGCCCGGCGCTGATACATACTAAACATATCAAAGTCATTCAGAATAAATCCAGATCCAAACACCGTATACCGAGATACATCCAAAATAAGGTTTCGTTTTGCAGTTCCCAGGCCAGAGCAAGAATCGCAATGCGTACCAAGTTAACTTGGATTGTCATTGGCCTGTAGATGATCACATAATCATTATACTAGTAATAAAAATGTATAACAATGTATGAAAGATAGAGATTTCACTTTAACACATAAATATGTCAGTTTCACTAATAATCTGGCATTTTGGGTAAGAGTTTATTTAGTTATAAACATACCATAGCCAACAACGCCTCAGTTCCATGCTTTTTGTTGTACTGAAAAACAATATCAATTCAGGGCTGCCATAAAACAATAAAACTAATTCCATGTTGCTGTTTGCCTAAATGTCACAATGTCACAAAAGTATTGTGATTGTAATGTCTTCCTTATATTGTAAAGTGCTGCACAAACTGTTGGCGCTATATAAATCCTGTATAATAATAATAATATCTCTTTCTTTGTTTTCTACTTCCTTATGACTCTTTTTTATTATTATGGATGGTGTGCGGAAGCACTAGACACCCTGTCAGGCTTCTACTGCTGTGTCCCCACTGGGGAGACTCACCCTCTCTATTTGTCCTGGTCACCAATGTCACCATGGCTAGGTGTGACTAAAAATCAAAAATGTTAACGTGTTACAGGGACAGGAAATCTTCCAATGGTGACATTAGCTCCAGTGACAGCTGTCTAAGTGGGAATGTCCATTACTTTTGAGTGAGTTCTTTATACTTGCTGTTGTGTCTCATAATAGGAAGTGAAAATAATCCCCCCGGCGCCATGGGACTCAAATACCAAAGAAAACTTTAATCAGTTTCAACGATCCCATGCTAATTCCAAAACAAAGAAAAAGCTTTGATTTTAGATATACTGTAAAGTGTTCTGGTGTATTCCTTCAGTCAAACGTTCTCTAGATTGCTCTTTTTTGCCAAGCTGTTCATATTTCAGTCATGTTAGCCAGAAAATGTCGGAACTGTCATTGCCAAATGTGCTGTGAAAATAATCCCCCCGGCGCCATGGGACTCAAATACCAAAGAAAACTTTAATCAGTTTCAACGATCCCATGCTAATTCCAAAACAAAGAAAAAGCTTTGATTTTAGATATACTGTAAAGTGTTCTGGTGTATTCCTTCAGTCAAACGTTCTCTAGATTGCTCTTTTTTGCCAAGCTGTTCATATTTCAGTCATGTTAGCCAGAAAATGTCGGAACTGTCATTGCCAAATGTGCAGAGAGAGAGAGAGAAGAGAGAGGGAGAGGGAGAGGGAGAGGGAGAGGGAGAGAGAAAAGAAAATTCCCAGAGTTTGTATTGCTTTCAGAAAGACTTACTGTCAATAAGGAAATATATATCGTCTTGATATCTAAAGCTTTGAGATAATTATTAATTAAAAAGAATAGAATGTTCTACCTGGCTATAATTATGCTAAATACCGGTTCTGTCAAGCGATACTGTTCCAAATTAAAACTTAAACAGAAACAGAATGTAATTAAGAAGAATTAGCACAAACATTATGCATGTAAATCTGCAGAGTGAATTATAAAACAAAAGAAAAGAAAAAAAGGTATAAAATAAAAACTGGAACAAAACATCCACTTTCAGTACGTTGAAATATCCAGCCGAATAGATGTGGGTTTTGTGCTATTTAAAAGGCTAAGCTCATTTTTTATTTTAGCTGTAAGTCCTCATCAATTATGATCTGAAAGGCCGTTATTGCACATTTTATGGGGCAATAACACCAGATGACATGTCTGCGGTCTCAGATTTGTGATACATTGTTGAATATTAGCAGAAAATCAATGGAGCAATGAGAATGTAGAACAATGGTATGAGAAAAGCCGTACTTGTCAGAACAATTGCCTAAAAATATCCCAAGATGAAATCTTTTTATTTGTGATGCATGTGTGGGATGGTATTCCATTGAGTATACAGAAAGCATGGGCAGGTATCCTAATAACAGTCTTTCAGCCTTGGAGCACAATGCCTAAAGTAGGACATACATGTTGCAAGAACCAGCCACAATTTGCCCAGTGGGTGCCCCTGTTAGCACCCTTCCAGCTGGCATCCATTGATCAGCTGATCGAAGGGGCAGGTTGGAAAATTCTTGGCCGAATGGTACAAGGTGCCTCTTGGACATCAGATCATTATCATTGCAAAGGTCACTGCCAGGGTTTAGTAGCTCCTTCGTGTTACATGTTGCTTTAATTTGAACTTCTGTTACATTTTATATTAATGTTGTCTTGTCCCATTTACAATAAAAAAGCCACTTTTGCCCTAAAACTCACTTTATCCGCTGGTGCTGTCCCTGCAAACTTATCTCTGCTCGTCCTTTGGGACCACAATTCCTGACAATATAGGGAGTGGAGTTTGTACAATTGGGCATTGGAAATAAGGTCTAAATTCAGCTTAAAGTGCACCTGTGATCAGACTATGGGCATTCAAGTTTTTACATATTCTTAAACAAGCAGTAAAGGAGCTTTAAAACAAGCCATGGCTGGCCTCCTTAGGTATATGTAGTGTCAAGTTATTCATCCTCAAAGATCACAAAAAAGACTCCTAACTCCAGTTTAAATGTTTACAGTTACAAATGTCTACTGTTAGTTCACATTAGAAGGCTGGCAGGCTGCCAAGTCCCTGTTGCCATAGATGATAGGAGGAGAGGAAATGTGATTTCAGTGCCTCTGTTGTGAACTTTAAAGATGCATTTCTCCACAATGCCTAAAGCTACATAGGTGATTGAGGGCTTGTGTTTTTATTGCTTTTATCGCTTGTTCAGAATATGTAAATGTGTAAGTGTGAGAAGTTTGGGCACAGGGTCACTTCAAATTGGTCCTGTTTTCATTTTTCCCCCCAGTTTTAACAGATATGTGAACC